TTTTTTTTTTTTTTTTTTTTTCCTCCAAGCCCTTCCTGTAAAACCTGGCTGACACATAAACCTAGCTGGGGTGAGGCTCCCAGGTGTGACGAAAACTTGGAGTTGCCCCAAGAATGGGGCTAGGGCTGATGTGGGGGTGAACAGGCAGAGAGCAGTGCTTGAGGAGAAAGAGGCAGGCTGGGACAGGAGAGCAGGGTGGGGGGAGGTGGGTGATTTGGCCATGTGTCAGGAGGTGTCTCCCTCCACCCTCCCCCGGGGAGAACCCTGACCCCTTGAAGCTTTACTTTTGGGAAGTAGGTGGTCAGGCAGCTGCTGAGAGAGGAGGAAGGTGTGGCCTGGGTGGTGACCATCCGCTGAGGTTCTAGGCCCAATACTGATTACCCACAGGAATAATTCCATGGTGGCTAATGGCCAAATAGGTGACAAGTGAGCTTCCATCTGAAATCAGCTCAACCACAGTATGCACAGAGCTTCATCTGCATGGCCAGAGGCTGGGGAAGGAAAAGAGGGGGCTGGGGAGATGGCTCAGTAGAATAAGTACTTGCCTGGCATGTGTAAGGGCCTGAGTTCAATCCCCGGTTCTGCCAAAAAGAAAAGAAAAGAAAAAAGAAAGAAAGAGACCTCTAAGGAAACACAGCAGTCAAGGTTGAATGCTTGGTGATAACAACAGATCACATTTACTACGAGCATTCCCAGTGCTATACTGACTGCCTTATATGTGTTCCCTCTTTCAATCCCCAAAACTCTACAAAAGAGGCTTTATTATCACTGTTACTCACATTTGAGAGATGAGGAAACTGAGGTTCAATAAGATTTAAGTATCCTGTCCAAGGGCAAAATAGTAAGTAGCAAAGGCAAGAGTCCAACCAAAGTCTGTAGTGACTCCCGGGACACTGGAGGCCTATGGCTAGAAGGACCGCTGGGGCACCTGAAGAGGGCAGCGCCAGACTGGCCCCTGCAAAGATGGGGGTGGGGAGAAAGAGCCGGATAGAATGTGTATAAATAGCAGCCCTGTTTTTATCCCTACACATGGCTGAACCAGGCAAATACTCTAGCTGGCACCATTTGAGGGCTCTGAATGCCAACCTAGCCCTGTGTCAAACAACTCCCTCTCTAGTACGTCCCTGGGAGCCAAAATACCAACTGTGAGAGTCATTTCTGCGGGTCAAGACATCGATTCCAGAAGCCCCCTGTAAAAATACACAGGTTGGAAGAGAAATACATACACCTGTTGAACAGTAGATTGGCCAGCTGCGACCCATGGGAGAAGGCTTTTTTTTTTTTTTTTTTTTTTTTTTTTAATTCTGGGAAAGAAGGTAAGAAAAAATATGAAATTTATTTACAGTCTCTCCCATCCCAGAATCCCGAGAACTATAATCCGTAGTTCAAATATCCTAAAGTAGACTATGGATGGAGGCCATCCCAAGATCTGAGAGAATACTAACTTCTTTTGCTTTTGTTGGCTTGACACCAAGTGCCTGCTCTGGTTATAGGATACCTGACTTCTTGGCATTCCTGTGCATAATTTTTAAACGATCAGTGAATTATTTACTACTTACTGTGTTGACAGACAGAAAACACGGCTTATGAAACTCGGAAGGTAACACAGTGGAGAGCCCCAGTGTGGAGCAGATCCGGTCCCAAGAACAAGGCCCGGAACAGAGCGCTCGGTTTAGCAGTCACAAGGCGACAGGAGCTTGGGGAAAGGTAGGAATTGGTCCCCCGCCACCTGCCGGTCAGCAGCCCTACTCACAGTCAGAAGGCTGCTGCCCTGGCCTGGTCCCAAAAAATGTGGTGCCGCCGGGTTCTCCCGCCCCCTCTGCCGCCGCGCCCGCCGAGTTGGGGGCTGCGAGGCGGGCGCCGCGAGCCGGGCGAGCTTCCCGGTGCGGGAGGGGTAGGAAGGAGGGGCGGCGAGGGGCAGGGCGGAGCTCCGGCGCCTCCCGGAGCCTTATTCCCGGCCTCTCGCTGGGAGCGCTCAGTCGATCCCAGAGCTGTGCGTCTCACGCGGCTGGTTGCTCTGACCGAGGTGCAGAGGCTCGGGTGGCCGCGCGAACCGACAGCGAGCAGACTGAAGCCCGGCGGCCGCGAGCTGTGCTCAAGTCCCAGCCAGGCTCGTGCCCAGAAGCGGGCAACACACTGTGCCCGGAGGAATCGCCTGTGCGCTCCGTCGCCTGGCTCTGCGTACCCGCGCCCAGTGGCCACCGCCTCCAAAGTGATTGCTGCCTCTCTGTCTCTTGCGGTCGGGGACCATGAAGCTGCTGCCGTCGGTGTTGCTGGCTGCAGGTACAGAGCTGCTGAGGTCGGGGGCGGGGAATGGGGGCGCTGCACGGGGGACGAGGAAGGTCGCTGCAGCGCCCCCAGCGCGGGCCACTTGGTGGGGCCCGTGCGCACTAGCAGGCGGGAATCCGCATCAGTTCGTGGTGGCCTGGGGGCTAGGTTGGGGGTCTGATATGGCCTTTCTCTTCGAGCGCAGTGCTCTCAGCGTTGGTGACTGGTGAGAGCCTGGAGAGGTTTCAGAGAGGGCTGGCAGCTGCAACCAGCGACCCAGACCCTCCCGCTGGATCTACAGATCAGCTGCGACCCACGGGAGGTGGTGACCGTGCCCGGGAAGTCCTGGACTTGGAAGGGTCAGATCTGGACCTGTACAAAGGTGAGTGCGAGGACCCCTACCCGAAGCTTAATCTGCGACAGGCAATTGAAAGAATAAGCAGATCTGAAATTCACTCTTAGGCCCCCTGTGGGTTGGGGGGATATTCATAGACGACCTCAAGGAAAAGCTGATAAGCTGATAGGGGGTTGGGAGATCTTGCCATATAGGTGCTATCTTTCTTGTTCTTGGTTCTCATCTAACGCAGTTGCTGTCTTTGTGGATATTTTGCAACAGATTGAAACAGGCAGCTTGTCTTCTGAGGTCTGCTGGGGTAGTGGAATAGAGCATGGGTGAGTTGCTTTCCCTAGAATTCCTATGTGAAAATGGGTGCGAGTCCTACTTGCCCTATCCAGTGACCACTAAGTACAAAATAGAACAGTGTGGAGATGCCCAAACAAAGCAAATTGCAGCATTAGTGTCCTCCATCCATGTATCTCCAAGTTGGGAAATGGGAGGAGGGACACTCCCTACAAGAGACCAGCACCTTTGGAGAAGTCTAGGAATGGTGACACTGGGGTCCTAGAGAGCTTTACTGAAATGTGGGGTGTTTGAGTGCTACACAAAGCCTGGAGACTTCCTTGCACCCCTGAGAACACTCAAGAAGGATGGGCCATGTGGGTCCTTCTAACCAGCATATGTGCTGATAGCTGAGCAGAAGCATAGGGCAGTTACCCAAGGCCTGCTGGAGTCCCTGCCCCTGGCCACCTGCAGTGATTATCAGGGGTGGAGCAGGACTGAGCCCTGGGGGCCGGAATGACTATATTTGGTTGGAAAGATACCCACCTGTTCCAGCCCCGCCTCCTGCTCTATGCCCTTTCTCACCCCTAACCCAGAGCTTCCCTATGGTTCTTTCTTGGCTTTTTATACGTTAAGGTTCCAAAAATGAGCCTGAGGTCCTGTGTCATCCTCTCAGTGGTCTTTGGATCACCAATGCCCTGAAAAGCATAGATTTTCCTGGCTCTCTTCTCTTAGCCTGGCCAGGGTTGGGCGGGGCTGTGACTCACTCCCCACCCACATGGCTTCTCATACCTCTGCCGACCTGACTCATAGCTGCCTCTTGTAGGAACCTTGCTGTCACCTTGCCAGTATCTCTCTCCCTTTTCTGATTGGCTTGGTCCCCCTGCCTTGCTTTACCTGTAGTCCTATTCACCAGGTTCCCCTGACCATCTGGCCTCAGAAGAAAGAGAGAAAGAAAGAAAGAAAGAAAGAAAGAAAGAAAGAAAGAAAGACAGACCATGGTGTTGTTGAAGTCACTTCCAGCTTGATACCTGTAGGTCTCCAGTCTATTGTCAGACACAGGCTGTAGCTATGGACAGCACCATTTTCTTATTGGGGATAGAATGAGAAGGAGGCTGGCATCAAATCCCAGGACTAATGGGCATAGTCTATGGTCAGTCCCAGCTACATGTCTGGATAAGGTTGTTTCTTCCCTGAGCCTCTAAAGCTTGGAAAGAAGCTTTATAGGTCCAGTTTCTTCTGACTAATTCCTTAGTTTTCCTCTCTATCCCTTGTATGTATTGTACCACTCATACTAGACAGCTATAGCCAGGACAGTTGGAGATAAAAGAAAATGGATCTTTGAAAAAATGAGTAAATTATAAAGTACATAAAGTGGGGTAAATATTTTACTTGAAATTGCAAAAGCAAAGCCCATTACCAAGGATAGTCAGCTTCCTACTTTAGAGCCAGGGTCTGTCCTGAACTTGTGGTTCCCTGACACAATGGGAACCACAGTACTAATGAGAACACCAGAGGCCACCTGAAGACATAGACATTTTTATTTTAGGATTTTCCCACCCCCAAAACATCCAAATGCCTTCTACAAAACCAATTTTTGTTGGTGATACTATTCTTCCTACTGGTGGGTCACGGTATATAGCCTCAGGAAGTGAAGACCAAAATAGAATAAAGTTGGTGAAAGGGAGTGGGAGGTGGGTCATGGAGCAAGGATGGGGTGGTCGTCCTACTCAGCAAGCTGCAATTACTCAAGGAAGGAGCATTCTTGGAATGAGGTTCTTAAACCTTCCATAGCTTCAGAGTTCACTCTGATAGTTCTAGTCATTCTTCCTTTGGCCTTTGGGGTGTTGGGCCAATGCACCCTCTTCAGATTTTGACCTCTTTCAGGTAGGGTTAAAGGGTACATAGTCCTTCCAAATACCATACTGGATTGATTCTCCCCCCTAGGGATCAAAAGTTTACTGGGGTGTCTTTCTTCTGCAGTTGATTTCTCCTCTAAGCCTCAAGCTCTGGTCACACCAAGCAAAGCAGAGCATGGGAAAAGAAAGAAGAAAGGCAAGGGGTTAGGGAAGAAGAGAGACCCATGCCTTCGGAAATACAAGGACTTCTGCATTCATGGAGAATGCAAATATCTGAAGGAGTTCCGGGCTCCATCATGCATGTAAGTGTCCCTTTGCAGGGTGGAATCTCATCAGTACACTCTGTCAGCCACGTGACTGTTCCTCAAGCTCTGGGCAGAAGTTGGGAGGAAGGGAACTATTTTTAGTCAACGGAAGGCCCCACCATCACCAAAGAGGATGCAATTTCCTGTGGTATGGGTTTGTGACGTTCTTTGATCCTTGGGGACATTTCCTGCTTACCCAGAAATGAGCATGTGGCTAGGAGAGTTCACAAGTGGAAATAGGCCCTTTATTCCTGCCTCATTCCTATTGTGGGAGGAGATGCTGGTAGGAAACATAGCACTGCAGCTTCCTGTGGAGTGGAGCTCCTGCAAGCAGGTATAAGGTGCATTTGGTCACATGTTGGGCAGCTATGTATATACTTGGGTTGGTGTGCGCAGGAGTTAACAAATGTGGGTTGATTTTAAGGCAACCAGGACTGTATAGAGAGGAATCATTACTGGATGGGCAAAATGAAAGCCTTCCTCTCTTTTGCCTCACCCACAAGGGTCAAGAGGTGGGGGACATGTAAGTGGGAGAACATGGCCTTTGTGCAGGCTTAGGAGGAAATGGAAGACTTTATGTCAGCTTCCTGGGCAGATTTTCATGGGCTAAACCCAAACAGGCCTCAGTCCCCAGTCAGGCAGCATCACTCCTTCCCTGGGTGGGAATGTGGGTGGAGGGGCCATGGGTTCCTTAGCCTCTCCTAGGCCAAGCCCAGCAAGTGGAAGCCTTGGCAATCCCTCAGGGGTGACAGCACTGCCATGCTGTCTGGCAGGCATAATGTCACCACTGTGCCTGAGGCCAATATCCCACGTCAGGCTGCACACATCAACTCTTTCCTATGGTAGGGTCTGGGGCCCTTGTGACCTGAACACTGGAAAGTTGAGGACACTTATGTATACACTATTTGCTATCCTGTCCACAAGTGTGGCTGCCTAGCATGTCTTCTAAATATTTTATTTTGAGACAGGGTCACACTAAAGTGTGATTTTTAACTTTTGATCCTCCTGCCTCAACCTCCTGAGAAGCTGAGATTATAATTGTGTGACCATACCTAGCTTCATTTGGCTTTTAAAACCTCTCTTGCCCTGTCTGATCATACATAGCAGAGTTACCTTGTATTTGACAGGTAGTAGACAGACTCATCTCTCTACCATGTCCATAGTCAGTCTGTCCTTTCTTATAACATCTCTGTCAGAAGCTTGGCATTGGAAGTTAAGAGTGGCACAGAAGCCAAGCCTGGTGACATGTACTATTGGCTTCCACACAGGAGGACTGAGTTAAGTACATTCCAAGCATCCCTAGGTGGGGATGAGATTTTTGTCTTTCCCAGAGTCAGCACCCACCAAATCAGGCCTAAGTGGGAGGATCACTTGATCCTGAAAGTTTGAGACCAGTTTGGACAATATAATGAGGCTTTATCTCAAAAAAAAGGAAAAGAAAGACATAGAAAGTCCCCATATCATCCCTTCCAATGTCTTGGGGCAGAGCAGAAAATATTTTGTCTTAAATTTGTAAAATAGCATCATGAGCACAGGATAGAGAAAGTGATTCTGAGAGTAGTACAGAAGAGTAGGTAGATTGGGGCCAGGAACCTGTATGGGCCACACTGGCAGGGAGGGGGCTTCTGCTGCTTGGCTGGGAAGCCTTGCAAGACTGCTGTCCTGCTCAGCCAACCACTGAGCTCAGGAAACCTGATAAGTGTCCACAAGGCCACCTCTTCAGCCCTAGGGATAGTGAGAGTGATCATAATGATGCCATCTCTCCTTTATCTCAGAGCGTCAGTGTTACAGAGATCCGGTAGGATTTTATAGAGGGCAGTTGTCCCAGAGGACATTCAGGTTTTTACTAGCGTAAGAGCATAGTAATGTAACTTAGAGACTATGTCAGCTTCCTGGGTAGAGTTTCACAGACTGGACCAGGATTCTTTGTCTGGTCCAACTGCCTCCTATCTCCAGCCATTTGTATTCAGGGCAGAAAGCAGCAAGAAGACAGGGCTCCTGCTCTGGGGCAATGTGATCCCTGTATACCTACATCTGAGATACTCTGTGGCTCTTTCTTGCCTCCAGACCCTAGAACCGCCAACCAGGGTGTGTCCAGGCTGCCATGGTGAGCTTACAGCTAGTCAGCTTCCTAAACCAACTCTCTGCAACCACCAGGAGCAGGAAAACCCTTTTGCGTCACCAGCCAGAAGTTGCCCACAAAGAGTAATATCCTGGGACTCCTAACTGGCTGCTGACCCAATAATTGGCTTCAAAGTTCCTGTGGCTGGAGGAAACCTGAGGGCCGTTGGAGTGGGGAGGACCCAGTGCTAGAAGAGAGACAGGCTTGGGGATCTACTTGGCCTCACTACCCAGATGCCAAGAAGGAATGGAAAGCCCTGTTCTTTTGGCTCCACCAGACTTGGGTGCCTCATTTTGTGGGTTAGGGGCAGTGCCCTCTATAGTCAGATTGAATAATCATCTATACATATGTGGAACCTGGTCTTTTTTAAAAAATGTATTTAGTACAGGGTCTACAGGGTCTCACTATGTAGATTGGACTTGTAGTGATCCTCCTGTTTTCAGCCCCCAAAGTGCTGGGTTTACAGACATGTGCCACCATGCCCAGTCTCAATCGGCATGTCAGGGCATTCTGAGGTCAAGGCCGACACAACACACTGGGGATTGAACCCCAGTCCCTGTGTCTGCCTAAGCAGGCACTTTAATCCACTGACCTATCTGGTCAGCCCTTGGAACCTGGTCTTTACGTCATGCTTTCATCCATAAATATCTTTGATCTTTTTGTGATATTCTCGTGAGTTGGGCATTTATTATTTCTGTATTTTACATGAGGAATCCAAAGCATAGAAAGATAATGTGACTTGCCCAACATCACCTGGCTAGAAATAGTAGCAGAACCAGTCTGGAATTCATGTATTCTGAGTCTCCTCCATCACATGGTGCCCCCGCCACCTCCTCAGTAGAGGTAGAGAGATCTTGTGTGGAAGACGTTTCTGGGCCCTAGAGCATTCTTGTGTCTGTTGTAATGCAAGTTCTGAAATGGGTCACAGACACAGAGGAACGTGTCCTAGTTTGATGGATGCTGGCTCTGAGCAAGACACACGATCTCATCCCCACCCTGGGATGCTTGGAATGTTACTCAACCCCCTCCTTCCCTGGGGAAGCCAGAAGTTAGCTGCAAAGGGAGGGGGAGGTAGATAATATTAGGATGTTTGCATTATTATCCTTTTGACTCAGGGTGGAGGTGTAGGGATTATGTAATTGAATTTTGGGACTCTGAGGCCAAGCTTTATTTGTATCATCTGAGTAACTACCTGTGAGGTTTGGGTTTAAGTGATGGGCTCAAAGTGTAAAACAGGCTTAACTTGAGCTCCTCTGTCCTAAGAGAGGGTAGTCTTTGTTTTTGTTTTTGTTTTTGTTTTAATTTTATTTATTTGTGTGTGTGTGTGTGTGTGTGTGTGTGTGTGTGTGGCCAGCTCAGCCCACCACGGAGTGGGGCTGGCTGGCATGTGGTGCTGGGAGATTGAACCGCGGTCCCTGTGCTTTAGCTTGTTCTAAGTAGGTGCTTTAGACCACTGAGCCATCTCACCAGCCCCAGAGAGGGTAGTCTTTGAAGTCATCTGGAGTGCTGTGTTGAACTCCAGGCTCTGTCACTCACTAGTTTTATAACTTTGGGCAAGTTATTTAACAGACGTTAAGCCTCAGCTATTTCATCTTTAAAATGGGACTGGCTGGCTAAATGTGGTGGTGCATGCCTGTAATCCCAGCCTTTGGGAGGCTGAGGCAGAGAGATCACTCTGAGTTCAAGATGAGCCTGATGAACCAAAGTAAGACTTTGTCTCAAAAACAAAAATAAATTAATTAAATTAAACAAAATGAGGATAGAAATTTTTTTTTTAATTTTTATTCATTTGAGAGAGAGAGAGAGAGAGAGAGAGAGAGAGAGAGAGAGAGAGAGAGGGGTGTGTGTGTGTGGCCCGCTCAGCCCACCAGGGGGCGGGGCTGGCTGGCATGTGGTGCTGGGGGATCGAACCGCGGTCCCTGATGCTTTGCTAAGCTTGTTCTAAGTAGGTGCTTTAGACCACTGAGCCATCTCTCCAGCCCAAGGAGGATAGTAACTTATGCTTAGCAGAGATGGTTTTGTGATTTATGAAATCCTGAAGCCCTGGGTTCAACACCAGCACCAAAACAAACCAGTGAGATTAAATGTAAAGCAGTTAGCATGGAGTATTTGTCTCATAATAAGTCTTTAATGTTTGCTATTTATTATTAAAACTATGAATTAATGATGATGATGATAATGCAATCAGAGGGGAGGAACTGACAGTTTCAGGAACCTACCAGAACATGTATTACATGTATTGTGCAGAGCAGAATCATGAATTTAGAATCTGCTAGGAGTGTTTTTTGGTCTTTGCCCTGCTGCTTCTTAGTTGTAAAGCTTGACAAATCACTTAACTTCTCTAATCCCTGTGCACAAGTGACTTCCCAGGGACACTCCTAGGAGCTTCCTCCATGTCTTCACAGTTTGGGGGTCACCTTTCTACCACCTGGACTGATGGGACACATGCATGGGAGGGTGGGTAAGAGATGGTGTAGAAGCTCTGGACAGATCTACTCCTTGTAGTATCCCTGATGCCCTGACAGCTGGAAGAAGGAATTCCTGCCAAGAGGCAGCAGGCACACAACTTCCTTGCCAGAGAAGATGTGGCTCAGAAGAGAAGCCACCAGGTTCTCAGTGCTTCTTCCCCAGCAGCTAGTGACTTGTATCCCTAGACTAAGGGTGTCACCACCCACTGTGGGTGGCAGGTGGGTTTGTGGACATGAGTAGGCAGCAGGATGAGCTCAGGGTCAGAAAATCCTTGTCCATACTTATGTCCTATTATGTGACATTGGGAAACCACACAATCTTTCTATAGAGTGGAACTCCTGCCTATATTGAAGGGTCTCTGGGATGTTCAGATCAATGGATGTGGCTATACTTCTTCAGCTTGGAGTCTTTCTAAGAGTTTTAAGGAAGTGCTTTGTATTAGGAGAGGCAGTTGCTGCATGATTTAATTCTTGAGTGACAAGAGCCAAGAGATTGTTTCTGATATTTTTTTATGCTCTGGCAAGGCAGCTAGGTAGGAAGATGTGATCTTGGTTTGTTTGATTTGTACTTTGATAAAGGACTGACAGTGAAGCTTCTAGAGGCCAGAGAGACTATGCTACCAGGCTGGGCCTTGTACCAAGGGGGAGTTGAAGAAATTTGAGAAAAAGGACTCCTGGCAAAGGAACAAGGCCTATTAATAGGCTGGGCAGTGGTAGGGAGGGACTGGACGCTTGAGGCAGTGATGGGCAAGGCTGGGTTTATTTCTGGGTCAGAATGTTGAGGGGCCTCACTAGAGGGAGTGATATTGAATCCCCTCAACTCAACCAACCAGCCCTTGTGCCCAAGACCTCTTAAGTGGCTCTGACAGAATGCCTTAGCACACATATAATAAATAAGCCACACATGGTTTGTGTCTATACTGAGAACTCCAAGTCCTCTCTTGCTTTTTCCCTCTACCTGGAGCAGGTCTCTGGGGCCAGAGAGCTAGAAGAAATGGTGAAGGAGGAGGGGTGCTGAGTGAGGGAAGGAAGCTATGGTGTTCAAAGGAAGTGATAAATAGGGTTTGTGTAGGTGTGCCATTACAGGGGAGGTGGAGAGAGAAAGAGAGAGAGAGAGAGAGAGAGAGAGAGAGAGAGAGAGAGAGAGAGAGAGAGAGAGAGGAGAGCAAACAACTAACCCTGTTTCTTTATTCTGTCTTGACCTAGCTGCCACCCAGGTTACCATGGAGAGAGGTGCCATGGGCTGAGCCTCCCCGTAGAGAATCGCTTATATACATATGATCACACTACTATCCTGGCTGTAGTGGCTGTGGTGCTGTCGTCTGTCTGTCTGCTTGTCATCGTAGGACTGCTCATGTTTAGGTGAGTATTGGGTAGCCCCTGCTGGCTGTTTCTGCAAGTCACTCCCCTCCTCCTTCTCCTGGGTCTCCCAAACTCTTTTCAACTAAGAGACCTCATGAACCCTGTTCTCATGCCTCCATATCTGGACCTTGTTCCTGGATGTAACTTTTCCACAAACCTAGTGTCTCTGGATGACCCAAGGCCAGTACCTGGAGCCTGGAGTGACCCTTGCCATGCCTAACAAATGATGGTGACCATAGTGACCCGTGCAACCCAAAACCCAAAGTGCCAACACTGCAATTAAACCTGGATACTGATGTTTTAGTTTAGAAAAACCCACTCATATATTAACATCTTTTGTCTTAAAAGAAAAACAAATAGCACACATTCCATAGATTTACACCCCTACTCTAGCAGATTCTGCTCCTCACACCTGTGGAGCCAGTCTTCAAACATTTTTTTACCTGGCTTTATTTGTTGATGGCATTAGAGTATGGCTTGGAGATGAAGGTATGGTGGTGCTATTGCTTTATCCTTTTAATACTGAGGCATTTGGACCTCAGGCCAGACTTCCAGTGCAGATATGTTCTGGGTTGAGAAGAACTGCTAAGCACCTCGTCTGTTTTCAAGCAGTGATACTCAATCCACTGTGAAACCTAGAACAAGTTACCTGTCTTTCTGAGAATTATAACCTATCAGTGTGATTATGCACTCTGTCCCCTTGACTTGTAAGGTTGTGATGACAATCAAATTCATGATGTGAAAGCTCTTTGTAAAATGTAGCATGCTGCTGGATATGGTATTGCACACCTGTAATCCAGCATTGGGAGGCTGAGCTAGGAGGCCTGCCTCCAGTTCAAAGTCAGCCTGAACTACATAGCGAGACCCTGCCTCAAAACAAAACAACCAAACCAAACAAACAAATATAGCCTGCTATTAGAGATACACATTTTTCAGGGAAGCTGGGCTTTGACCAGAAGTCTATGTTGTTCCCTCTGGGCTTTTCAGTGTAATGGAGGGAGCCATCATGGCAGAGACTGTAGAGTGACTTGCTCTGGGACCTATATTTTATTTTAGCAAGCAGGGCTTGCTCATAAAACTTCTCTTCCTCAGGTACCATAGGAGAGGAGGTTATGATGTGGAAAATGAAGAGAAAGTGAAGTTGGGCATGACTAATTCCCACTGAGAAAGACCTTTGCTCAAGGTAATAGTTTGTCCTTCTGCTAACACAAAGGAACCACGGCATGAGTCTCCTCATGGGTCTCTTTCAGGCAATGCTGAATTCTGCTCTTCCCTCTGGCCTGAGAGTCAGCATCCAATTTCAGAGTTATTTTCAAAAGACTGCTGAAGGATCAGGTCCAGTTAGGGTGAAAGTTATGAGAGAGTTACCTGAGAGGGCAGCTTCTTCGGTTGTTAGCCCTTTGTTCTCTCTCCTTTTCCTAGATGATCTCTTCACTTCTTAAGATTGTATTCAGAGGCACCTAAGACCTCCTTAGGCTTAGCCCAGCTTTAAATGTCTTCCTTTTATGCTTTAGGAAAACAGCGGAGGCCAGCTACCTCTGAGAAGCCACAAGTTGTTTGCCAACACTGCAGAAGAAAAGGACTTCACAACTCGCCATGAAGACTTCACCTCCAGTTGCCATCTTGACTGGACCTCCTGTAATTGCTCTGCCAAAATGCCAACCTTCAAGTGCCAAACAGAATATGTCCAGTGGGATTTGGATCAGAGGAGAGTAAAAGGGGAAAGGGTCTTTGGGACCTTCTGATTTTCTCCCACCAAACCTACTCTCCTCTCAGTTTTAAAAAATATTTAAATACTCATCTTCAGAATTAAAGTTATTGGTTAAATTCCACCGATACACTCCAGGATCTTTGACTAAAAATACAAAAGAAAGAGAGAAAAGAAGGAAAGATTTGTGGACTAGAAGAAAGCAACAAAGGTTGAGAAGCTGTGTACTCAAGTAGCCACCAAGGCATCTGTTACTTGGACCCTCCAGAGCTGGATTTGATGAGCTAACTGTGAAATATTATAAGCCCAAGAACTCTGAGTTTTGGGACTTCTGCCAAGATTGGAAAAAAAAAAAAAAAAAAAACTATTTTTTGTTGTTGTTTGTTTGTTTGTAAAATGCCTCTTAAATTATATATTTATTTTATTCTATGTATGTTAATTTATTTAGTTTTTAACAATCTAACAGTAATATTTCAAGTGCCTAGACTGTTACTTTGGCAATATACCTGGCCCTCCTCACATCCCTGCCGTCTGGCTCAATGCCATACTCCCCTGTGGCAAATCTTAGATGGCCCAATCTATTTCTATGACCCATCTATTTCTGAAGATCTCCCAGGATCAGAGTGCCCTGAGGAGAGTTCTGATGGTTGGGATGTAGGATGTCAGAGCCACTCTATGAGTTGGACTGCAGTCTTGCCTAGGCAATTTTGTCTACCATTTGTGTTTTGGAAGCCAAAGGTGCTGATGTCACAGTGTAACAGATATCAGTGTTTTCCTGTGTCTCTTCCCTGAGAAATCTCAGAAGAGTTTGGGTATCTGTGCCTGCAGCTTTTCTGATACCCCCTCCCCCAACCACCCAGAGAATGGATGCCCATTCTCCCTTGTGTCAAGACATTTCTCTCCTGCCATTCTGGTGCTACTCCATGCAGGGGTCAGTGCAGCAGAGGACAGTCTGGAGAAGGTGTTAGCAAAGAAAAATGCTGAGGAGGAACAGGAAAAATTGGAGTTAACTGTTCTTGCTAATTTGTTAATTCTCAATTGCTGAGGAAAATATTAGAAGTGAGGAAAGCTTGTGTGAACCCTCACCCCATCACCAAAACTACAAAGGAATGCTATTATGGTCCCTTCTGGAAGTTTTTGGTGCCATTTCTGAACTGTTACAACCTGTATTTCCAAACCTGGTTCATATTTGTACTTTGCAATCCAAATAAAGATAACCCTTTCTCCATAGTCTGCTTGTTTGTTTGTTTATTTATTTACTTATAGACAGGTCTTTCTTTGTAGTCCAGGCTAGTCTGGACTTATTATGTAGCCCAGACTGGCCTCAAACTCACAATGATTCTCCTGCCTCAGCCTCCTGAGTGCTGGGATTACAGGCGTGCACCACCACACCTGGTTGGTAGTCTGCTTGTGTTAATTGGGAACTGGTTTAATATGGCTCTTTCTTAAGCTATATATATTTTTTTTATGTTAGGCTCTGTATCAGGCATTTTAATGTATACTGCCTGGGTATTCTCAATAACTCTGTAATGAAGATACTGTATCTTTACAGAAGTGGAAATTGCATTTTATGTAGATGATATAACCACTTGAGAATATCATAGTACCTTCAAGGATCCACAGTAACACCGGACACACAGGCTGAGGATACACAGTAACTCTGTTTTAATTCATAACAGCATACTACCTCTAAGATAAGAAAGAAGAGATCTTTGAAGTTGGAAGGAGCTTGGCTGACTGTTACTGGCAAAGACATACTCATTCAATCAATGGGCCCTAGATGCAGGGTCCAGTCCTGTGCTGTGTCCATGTGAACAGGCATCATTCCCCTCTCATGCTTCGTTAGTCAATCCACCAGCAAATCTTGTCAGTTGTACCTTTATTTTGTATTATTATTTTTTAGTTGTACATTGAGGACACATGCAATACACTCATTTTCCCTGCTACTACTATCACCTAGTCCAATGCAGCATCCCTCCTATCTGGACTCCCATGATAGCCTCCTATCTTCCTAGTTGCACCTTGCTTCTGTATAGCCTTTTTCCAACATGATAGCTGGAGTGAATGTTTAAAACATAATTCATATTACTTAGTCCAGGGTTTGATCTCTACCATCACACACAAAAATATAATTTAGGTCTTATCTATTGAACAGACCTTCCCTTGCCACAGTATTACACAACATTACAGTCTTCCCTCATCCCATTCTTTTTCTTCTTACAATGCTTAATATTTCCCTACAGTTCTAATCACCAGTAACATATTCCTATTAATTTTTTGTCCATCTGCTCCTGCTAGAATGTTAGCTACATGAAGGTAGGGGTATGTTCATTGCTTTAATCCCAGATTTTTTTTTCTCCTTCTTTCTCCTCCTCCTTTTTCTCTTCTCCTTCTTCTACTTTGTAGGGTACTTTTTATAGTTTTTTTTAATTTGGATGTTTTGAGAAAGGATCCCAAATATAGTTTAGACTGCCCTTGAACTCCCTATGTAGCCCAGGTGGGCCTCAAACTCATGGTAATCCTGCCTCAGTCTCCTGAGTGCTGAGATTACAGGCAAGTGCCACTATACCAAGCTGCAGGTTCTTAAACAATATAAATGAGTTAGACATTCAATATTTGTCAAATTTTGTCAAATGAATACAGGAATTCAAATTCAACCCAGATGTGGTAATGTAGGCCAGTAATCCTAGCAATTGAGAGGCTGAGGCAGGAGGATTGCTTTAAGTTCAAGGCCAGCCTGGGCTACATAGTTCAAGGTCAGAGAAACTACATAACAAGACCCTGTCTCAAAAAACAAAAACTAAATATTCAAATAACAGAACTTAACCAAAAAAGGGGATACAGATGAATGTCCATTTTGTATCTGTGTATTCAAAGTGGTTAGGATAGATATATAGTTACATTCTCTTAATGAATAGAATGATTTGTTCTAATGGTGTTTGTAAATAGGATTTCAAGTCCGCATCTTGTACAGCAATTAACCACTAAGAAGAATGCATGCAGTGTGTTAATTATTGAAACTGTCCTACCACTTTGATTTGAAACTGTCTCATTGCTATTTGTTTATCAATAAAATTATGGCAAAAAAGAAAAAAACTAGAGGAACAAGAAAAAAATTTAAAGTTTCTTGGGCCAGGGAGATAGCTCGGTAGAGCAAGTGCTTGCCTGGCAAGCACAGGGTCCTGAGTTCAATCCCCAGAGCTAAAAATAAAAAAATAAAAAAATAAAAAATTAAGGTTTCTGGAAAACAAGCGGCAATATGCAATCATATGTCCAATCTTGCATAACTTTATCTGTTAATCTGAGCAACAGTTTGACGATAAAAATAGATAATATATCAACCATTGTTAACCAGTTATTCCTGTTTTAAAAATCTGTGACATACACATTGTCGTATATCTTGTTACCTGTTTCTGTCATTGTTTCTGATTTTTGTTCTTGCTTTTGTCTTTTACTTTTCAAAATGAAATAACAAAATTAAATTTAATTTAAAAAAAAAGAACGAACAAACAAACAAAAAAACCCCCTAACTCCTAAAAGAAAACAATTAAAACTCTATCCAAGGGGCCTGGCTCTAGCTCAGTTCTTTAAGTGGCTGCTTCCACAAAGCTGTCAGCCTCAGCTTATTCTAGTTCGATCCCCACAACCCTCCAGCCAGCCAAAAGTGCCCTGAAGGCATTCGAGGAGCAAAAAAAAAAAAAAAAAAAAAAACAACTCTATCCAGGTGGGCAAGTAGGCAAATACAATCAGTGGGACTATAGACAGACTTTTGTTGGGAAGGTGGACTAGGTAACAGGATGAAAATGGGAACTGCGCTTTCCATATGGCCTGGTATCCTAAGTTTAATCAGGTAATGAGAGCCATTGATTGGGAGGCTATCGGAAAAGAGCCTCCGGACTGCCCCCTCCTCATCCTCATCCTCATCCTCTTTTTTTTTTTTTTTTTTTTGAGAGGTATAACATTCTAAAGTTTCTCCAGGGGCCCACACAGACATCACATGTGTCTTTTAATTATCCTCTTAAAACTTTGGGTAGGCGGGGGAGATAACTTGTGGGGGGGCAGTGTCTAAGTGCCTGCAAGGACCTAGGTTTGATCACCGGTACTGAATGCTGTGCTGGCCCAAGAACCCTGGGCGTGCTATGCTGGCCACCAAAACCGGGTGGGGTGGCACATGCCTGTAATCCCAGCTCTGGGGAGGCTGAGACAGGAGAATCACTATGAGTCCAAGCTGTGGTAGCAAGACCTGTACCAAATAAATAAATCTTAAAAAACTTTGGGTGGCAGTAACTATCACAACTGAGCATATGAATATCCTATAACCCTACAATTCCACTCTTAGGTATATACATAAAAGAAATACCTTTGTTACCAAAAGGCATGTGTAAGAGTGACATTGGCATTACTTACAATGGCTAATAATTGCAAACTATCCAAATACCCACCAGTACTCAGTTATGAAATCAATCAATAGTCTCTGGTATATGAAGACAACGGAGTACTAAATAGCAACATGGATGAATGGCAAAACATTACTGAGTGAAAGAAGCTGGACAAAGCTGAGTCCCTTTTGTGTGAGTCCATTTATATACAACTTAAAGGCAGGCAAAATTAATCTATAGTTAAAAAAATCAACAAGGGGATCCCTGTTTGGATTGGTAATGACTAGAAGTAGCAGAGGTGAGACTTCTGGGATACTGATAATTTTGCCATGCTCTGGCTCTGGTTGCACCAGTGTATTCACTTTGAGAAAATTCACTAGAATTTTCCAGAAAAATCGTACAATGTACGATTTGTACATCTTTTTGTATTGTATGATGCATATTATAACAAGATTTTTGAAGACTCAGATAGGGACTCTTTGCTACTGCATTTTAGATGATGCTGTAAAAGACCAATATCTGACTTGAGTAACCAGAGAGTAAGGATATCAGAGATAACCGTGGAGTAGTGAGTTTCTTTAAACTCATGGCAGGGCCCCCTTTGCTTGTAGCAAGTTTCCCTCTTCATACTTGGTTGGGTTGTTCTGGCCATGCTTTATTTCTTCAGTAATGTTTCCTGCAGACTGAGGGCTTCCTGTCTTTCAGCTGTTCTCTCCTACTACTTCTTATTTATTTATTTATTTATTTATTTATGTGTGTGTGTGTGTGTGTGTTTGTGTGTGGCCAGCTCAGCCCACCAGGGGTTGGGGCTGGCTGGCATGTGGTGCTGGGGGATTGAACCGCGGTCCCTGTGTTTTGCTAAGCTTGTTCTAAGTAGGTGCTTTAGACCACTGAGCCATCTCTCCAGCCCATAAGGAATTTTTTTTTTTTTTTTTTTGCTCCTCGAATGCCTTCAGGGCATTTTTGGCTGGCTGGAGGGTTGTGGGGATCGAACTAGAATAAGCTGAGGCTGACAGCTTTGTGGAAGCAGCCACTTAAAGAACTGAGCTACAGCCAGGCCCCCACTCTCCTGCTACTTCTGCTGCTGATGAGAGTTCCTGTTGGAGATCCTTTGGGTTTCTTTCTGCTTGACATAGTGGCGCTTGGAGCCTCTGAATCTGTAGCCACTTATCAAGATTGGCCATCAGTTGGCCTATGCCCTGAAAAGCATCTATCTTTTCTCTATGGACTCCTCTTTCAGTCTCTTTTGAGATAATGTCTATTTTTTAAAAAAATGTACTTAGGACAGAGTCTTCAGGATCTACAGGGTCTCCCTACGTAGATTGGACTCACGATCCTCCTGTTTTCAGCCTCCCAATGGGTGCTGGGATTACAGGCACGCACTACCACGCCCAGTCTGAGATAATTTCTTTTACAATATAATGGTCAGAATAATCATGATTAGGTTAATAATTTTTTTTCTTGTAGTGCTAAGGATGGAAAAATAAGAAAGGCCAGTGACCTATCACTGAGCTACACCCTCAACTCAGAATAATAAACATTTAATATTCATGAAGTAGGGGATATAGCTCAGTGGCACAGCACCTGCTTGGCAAGCCCGAGGTCCTGAATTTGATTCCCAGTACCAAAATATTTTTTAAAAAATAATAAATAAATAAATGGTTTAAATATTCATGAAATGCTCACTGCATATGACTTCTAGACCACACACTTTACAGGCACTATTTCATTTACAATCACCACAACTTGGAAGGTAAGTGCTCTTAATATACCTAGAACTGTGTTATAAGTGAAAAATTGAGGCCGAGAAATGTTAGGTGAAATACTCATGCTCTAGAGGGTAAA